TGTGTCTCCCTCTCTCTCCTCCCTCCTTCCTCCTTCTTATCTCTTCTTCTTCGAATCTGAGAGTGTGAGAGGTTATCAGTAGGGATTCAGGCTGGGGTTGTAACGGGCGCACTGCCCAGGATCTGATTCGACATTTCTGAGACAGACATTGTGTGGACATTCGACAAGAGACTATTTTGGACTTCGTCATTGCGATCTTGGTCTACTCTCTCGCCTCCTCCCTCTTTCGCCCGTCCCTCCCCCATCTCTCATCCGAGGTTTCTCCCCATGTGTGTGTACGAAGGAGGGACCTTCCTTCCATGATTGCGGTCCCTCCTCTCTCGCCCATGTGTGACGTGTGATGGATGTCGGGTCAGTCCACGTCAGATCAGATCTTCTCTTTGAAATCTTCCGCTGTGCCATGTTGCGCCATCTTGTACGTATCGAAATGTACATTGCTTGTTGATGCTGCGCTGATCTTGCATTGTCCATGTCAGTCCTTTTCATCACATTGTGGATCCTTGGTATACTGCGCATTGCTCCCCTAAGCATGCGTCAATTAGACTGACGACACAGCATTACTGCGCGGACCGCTCTGACACAGCTGACAGACAACTTTTGGACTGACTGCTCTGCACTGACACTAGATCTGACACGGCAGACTATGACAGGACAGATCAACAGGCAGCACGGAAAACGCAAACACAGCCTGTGCGCAGGCTCAAGGCCCAAGGTCAACTGCAGGCAAGGTCAGAGGGGGGGTCAAACCGTTGACAACCCACTGACGACACAGACTGACAACACTCACCTACCTCCCGACAGGCCACGGACTGACAGACCCGACATACCAGTTCTGACAGACTGACGGACTGACGTCGGAGGGACAGGTCGCCGGAACGAACTCACTCAATCATGGTCTTGATTGGAGATTGCCGCCAGTCAGCGCCCAAGCTGAATACTCGCGGCAAGTCCCAATCAATTGCTGCAGATTGAATTGCCGGCGTCTCTTCTGCAAAATTAGACCCTCAAGTGGTCGTCCAATATTGGTGGCTGGCCAAGCAGGCTGAGCCTGCCAGTTTGAGGGTTGCCGTGCCCTCAGGTCGCCGGCCCACTAATTAGGGTTGACGTCCTAATTAGTGCCGGGGCCAACTCAAGCCGGGAGAC